GGCCTCATTGCTGTGAAGGTATCAGTGGGGTCTGAAATTAAGCACTTTTTCCAAGTGCCGCCTTCTTGTCCACTGTCATTGTAATTTTTTTGGACTTTGGTGAGCAAAAGGCTCCTCTCCCCCTCTGCCCTTCCGGTGAGAGAAGTGCATGACAGAGCTGCCTCAACATGTCGGTAATTTCTGGGTAATAAAACTGCCCTTTGGGCCACGGTTCACAATTAGACCAATGCTGAGGATCAGGCCCTTCCCAGCACTAGAAAAGCACAAGATTAATTTAAAGCTTTAATTTAATTATTTTTTTTTTTTTTTTCTGCCTGTTCCTCCTACCGCTGGACCAAAACCACACATGGGCGAACATTCCTTATCTTCCCGTGGCAGTTGAGGGCCAACTGCAATTGCTCACGCTGAGGACTGGCTGCACTCTACCTGCCCGTTCCTGTAAGTCATTCGGAGAAGCTGGTGTCTACACAAGCTCTGAAAGCACCTTTGGAGGCTGCTGGCCCCAGTTGTTCATGGAGCTATGGATGGGGGCCAGCTCCAGGATCTGACTGCTGGGAAACTGGGTGGCCAGACGTCTACTCACAAGCAATGAATGCTTGAGGCCAAGGAATTTCTTTTACAATGTTTTTTTCCCCATAGTATGAAGAAGACATATCCATATACCCTACCAACTTTTCAGAAGGGATAGGCAAGGAAGGAGAGGCGGTGGGGTAGCCCTCTATGTTAGGGACAGATTTGAATGCCTAGAACTTAACAATGTGAATGACAGTGTTGAGTGTTTATGGGTTGGAATCAAGGGGAAGGCCAATAAGGCAGACATCGTGGTGGGAGTTTGTTACAGACCCCCCAACCAGGATGTAGAGGTTGATGAAATATTCTATAAGCAGCTGGCAGAGGTCTCACCATTGCTCACCCTTGTTCTCGTGGGGGACTTCAGCTTCCCAGGTGTCTGCTGGCAATATGACACAGCAGAGAGGGAGCAGTCCCAGAGGTTCCTGGAGTGTGTGGAGGACAACTTCCTAACTCAGCTGGTGAGGGAGCCAACCAGGGAAAGCACCCTACTGGTCCTGCTGCTTGTTAACAGGGAAGGTTGGAGGTCATCTTGGGCAGAGTGATCATGAAATGATAGAGTTCTCAATTCTTGGAGAAGCAAGGCAGGGAGCCAGCAGAACTGCCACCTTGGACTTCCGAAGGGCAGACTTTGGCCCGTTTAGGAGCATGGTTGAGAGTGTCCCTTGGGAGACAGTCCTGAAGGGCAAAGGTGCCCAGGAAGGTTGGTCATACTTCAAGCAGGAACTCCTAAAAGCACAGGAAAGGCCATCCCCAGGTTCTGTAAAATGAGCCGATGGGGAAGAAGACCAGCCTGGCCAAATAGAGAGCTTTGGCTGGACCTCAGGAACAAAAGGAAATCTGGAAAAGGGGGTTGGCAACTTATGAGCAATACCAAGATGTAGTGAAGCTATGCAGGGGAAAATTAGAAGGGCCAAAGCTCAAGCAGAACTCAACTTGGCCACTACGGTTAAAGATAACAAGAAGAGGTTCTTTCAGTATATCAATAGAAAAAGGAAGACCAGGGAAAATGTAGGCCCACTGATGAATGAGATGGGTGCCCTAGTGATGGAAGACACAGAGAAGGCGGAGTCACTGAATGGCTTCTTTGCTTTGGTCTTTACTGCTAGAGCCCATGAAGCCCAGACCCTGGAGAGAAGGGGGAAGGTCTGGAGAGAGGAAGATTTTCCCTCTGTAGAGGAGGACTGGGTTAGAGACCACTTGGCCAAATCAGACATCCATAAGTCCATGGGCCCGGATGGGATGTACCCACGAGTGCTGAGAGAGCTGGCAGATGTTATCGCTGAACCACTCTCCGTCGTCTTTGAAAGGTCATGGAGAACAGGAGAGGTGCCTGAGGACTGGAGGAAGGCAAATATCACTCCAGTCTTCAAAAAGGGCAAGAAGGAGGACCCAGGGAACTACAGGCTGGTTAGTCTCACCTCTGTCCCTGGCAAGGTAATGGAATGACTTGCTCTGGATGTCACCTCCAAACATCAGGAAGTCACTGGAAGTGGTCAACACGGATTTACCAAGGGTAAATCATGCTTGACCGATCTGATAGCCTTCTGTGATGTTATAACTGGATGGCTGGATGAGGGCAGAGCAGCAGATGTCATCTACCTTGACTTCAGCAAGGCTTTTGACACTGTCTCCCACAACATCCTCATTAGGAAATTAAGGAAGTGTGGGCAGTGAGGTGGATTGAGAGCTGGCTGTGTGACAGAACTCAGAGGGTTGTGATTACTGGAGCAGGGTTGAGTTGGAGGCCTTTAACCAGTGGTGTCCCCAGGGGTCAATACTGGGTCCAGTCTTGTTCAACATATTCATCAGTGACCTGGACGAGGGGACAGAGTGTATCCTCAGCAAGTTCACTGATGATACCAAACTGGGAGGGCTGGCTGACACTCCAGAGGGCTGTGCTGCCATCCAGTGTGACCTGGACAGGCTGGAGAGCTGGGCAGAGAGGAACCTCATGGGGTTCAACAAGGGCAAGTGTAGGGTCCTGCACCTGGGGAGGAAGAACCCCAGGCACCAATAGAGGTTAGGGGTGGACCTGCTGGAAAGCAGTTCTGAGGAGGAGGATCTGGGGGTCCTGGTGGACAGTAAACTCTCCATCAGCCAGCGATGGGCCCTTGTGGCCAAGAGGCCAATGGAGTCCTGGGCTGCGTAGGGAAGAGTGTGGCCAGGAGGTGGAGGGAGGTCATTCTCCCCCTCTGCTCTGCACTGGGGAGGCCACAACTGGAATCCTGCCTCCAGTGCTGGGCTCCCCACTTCAAGAGAGACAGGGAACTGCTGGAGAGAGTCCAGCGTAGGGCAACAGAGATGATGGAGGGATTGGAGCATCTCCCTGATGGGGAAAGGCTGAGAGAGCTGGGGCTCTTGAGCCTGGAGAAGAGAAGGCTGAGGGGAGACCTTCTGAATGCTGACAAGGGTCTAAAGGGTGGGTTGAAGGAGGATGGAGCCGGACTCTTCTCAGTGGTTCCCAGGGACAGGACGAGGGGCAACGGGCACAAGCTGGACCATGGGAAGTTCCACTCCAATGGGAGGAAGAACTTGTTTGGGGTGAGGGTGGCAGAGCCCTGGCAGAGGCTGCCCAGGGAGGGTGTGGAGTCCCCTTCTCTGGAGATCTTCAAGCCCCGCCTGGATGCTCCTGAGTGATGTGCTCTGGGCAGCCCTGCTTTGGCCGGGAGTTGGACTGAAGGATCTCTAGAGGTCCCTTCCAACTCTGACAATTCCCTGATTCCGTGATGGCTGGACGGGAGAAGTCTGATGTGCAGTCTGCAGGCCAAAATGGCACAAATGTCCCTGTGCCTTCCACTGACCTGGCTTTTGGTTCTGTAAAAGCGAGTGGTGCAGGCAGGGGAGGGATACAGTAAAAACACAGAGGCTGGAAAGGTGGATACAGTAGAAACGCTGACACAGGCTTAGTTATAGCACTGCAGAAAGGAGAGATTTATGAAAAATGTAATATGGGAGCAGAATATTTCTATCATCTTCTATGAGCTGCTTAGAAGTGGCTGCAGGACTGTTTCTATCTTCTTAACCGCAGCCCTTTTACTGCCTTCAGCCTGGTCCTTGCTTACATTTCCCTTCCCACCAGGGACGTTTTGCAGAAAATACGGGCGACTCTATGAAATCTGGAGCAACTCTGTGCCAGGAACTTTAACCTGAACCCGCGGGAGGCTGAAGCAGCTATTGCCGGGTCTGGAAATGGGGAAACCCGGGTTCGTCAGTCCTTTGCTGTCACGTCCCAGTTATTTGGATTCCCCTTCGGCAGCAGAACGCAGAACTGAGAAAAGCAGCCTCAGTTGAAAAGCATTATTATGAAACCACCTCAAAAAGTGGGCCCTCCCCTCACCCGCCCCCCTGTGCCGGTGGAGGGGGGCAGGGGAGGGATCCGGCCGGTACATGCGCCACCGGGAACGGCACCGGGACCCCCTTTGCAGAAGCCCCCCTCAGCCCGAGCCCCCCCCCC